TCCGTGGTGCTAACCAGCATAGCACTCCCAAGCCTACATGCATGCTGCAGGTTTTTCCTCCCAAGGTGGAGAACCTTACATTTTTCAGTGTTAAACATCATCAGGTTCTCGTCCGCCCAATTCCTAAACCTGTCAAGGTCAGCCTGGATCACCCTTCTGTCAGGGTAGGTGTGGATGCTTTACTCCTGAGTTTGGCGTCAGAAGCAGACTGGCCAAGTTCGCTGATGACACCAAACTCAGGGGTAAAGCATCCACACCTACCCTAACAAAATGTCTACACCATTAATGAAGATGTTAAATAGTATACGCCCTAGGACAGAGCCTTGAGGGACCCCACTGGTCACAGCGCACCATGATGATTGACTTTCGTCAACCACCACCCTCTTGGTCCTACCGCGGAGCCAATTCCCCGGCCAGCGGATCGTGCCAAGGCCGCAGTTAGCCAGTTTTGCCAAGAGGTGATCATGGGATACCAGATCAAAGGCTTCTTTTAAGTCAAGATATATGACATCAATCTCTTCTCCCTTGTTCAGGTGATAGGTCAGTTGGTCATAAAAGGAAATGAGATTGGTCAAGCAAGACCCACCCGCAACAAACCCGTGCTGGCTGTCCCTCAAGATGTTGCCATCAGCCAGTCTGTTAAGGATGGCCTCTTTGATAATTTTTTTCCAAGACCTTCCCCAAGATGGAGATCAGGCTGATGGGCCTGTAGCTAAACCAGTTGGTCAATTTATAAGATCCTTTTGAACAGGGGTGCACTGATGGCAGTCATACCGGCCAATGCTGATACGCAGCCTGGTAGCTTGGAGAGCAGTGTCTAGCCTGTTAAAGTCAGGGTGGGGAAGGAAAGGGGCATGGGGGGGCCAGGTCAAGGCCCCCACTGTGAGGGAGGAAGTGCGGCTGGGGCAAGGTGCAGAACAGAGCTGTGGGCAGTTCATCTGGGGGGCAGGGGGGAGGGAGGGCTCTCCAAGCTGCCGGGCTGCATTCCTGGCTGCGTGCATGCTGCGGCTCCATATATACGCATGGTATTTATCGATATTTTTGGCTGCACTGGCCAGAAAAAGCCAATTGCCATTAACGTTAATTTTATCAGTGCCAATCCAATATGGACTAATATATCACTGCACCTCTACTTTTGAACAGCATATTCAAAGACTACCTGGTTCAACTGCTACTCTCCCAACCAATTTTGCACATGTTGCTTGTCTTAAGTTGTAAGGTCTCTTCAGCCCTGTCCTAGGTGTTCCTTTGTGGCAACTGAAGCCATTAGAAGTACAGTAAATCAATACCCACTATTAATGGCTAATCAGCACTACTGAAATCTTCTTTTGCTAATCTCTCAATAGGCAACTTTGTGAATGGTCAAAGATACCAGGCACCATCTCCTCCTTCAAAAGATTTCTGAAGAACAGGATTAAAGCACACTGAAGAGGTAAAGAAGTATGTATTTTTGTGTGGCATCTACTCTGTGTCATTAGGTAATTCTGTATTTTAACATGGTAAGTCCCAAATAGGATTGGGCCCCATTGTAGAGATGGCGAGCAGAGGCCCAAACAAGTGAAATTTTTGTTTATATAGTTGCTGTGCTGGCTGATGCTCAAGTCACTTGCCCAGCAACACACAGGAAGTCAGCTGCACCAGGACTAAATCCAGCTGACCAGAGCACAAGCTCAGTGCTTTAACCACAAACTGTCCTTCTTCCTATTAGTAGATCAGAGCTTGAACCTCCAGAGCTGCCAGTTCTTGCAGTGGGTCCACACAAAAACTAGACAACCATATGTTTTTGAAGGATTATTTTAACAGAGATGTAAAGCCATTATCTTTTCTGCTATCAAGTTTGTGCTCTGCATGTAGGGGAGTTGTCAAATGCCACTCCAGTTTAAGACAAACTTTCTCTTTGGCGATGTGACTCTTCACTCTTTCATTAAGGAAATCAAATTGCCGTAACAGAAATCCAAGGGACACAAACAGTTTTTGTCCCTGAATGTATCTTTAAGCAAGATGTCTTATAATTATAAAACATTATCAGAAAGAGGTCTTAGCTATGCAGAAAAGGAAAAAAGGAAGTAGTTTAACAGAAACATGAGTAATCTAGATATTCAACAAGGAACAGCAGCCTGCAAAACAGATGAATAAATAAATTGCTCCCTACCCAGAACAGCTGCTCAACATGGTCTCCAGTGCTTCTGCAGAAAATCCAGAACACCCGGAGAGATTTAGCCGCACCAAACTGGAATTCTGAGCAATGTTCCTGGAAAAAATATCAGACAGACTATCCCAACATTTTGTTCTCTCCTAGCATTCACCAGTAATGCTTCGTTTTCAAAAGCAAAGGTCAAAGCTTCATGATTGCCAAGAGGATCAAGTTTCATCTCTATAGATGTGAACCCTGAGATCCTTGATTCAATACGTTCTGTAACTCTTTGGGTGCATCTGCACATTCATTAATGTGTCACAGTTATGGCACATTAGAATGTATAATAGGTGCTAGCCTAGTGCACTGTAATTGGCACTACTACGCATTAGCACAGATGAATGTTTTTTTCTGTGTAACACTTATGGAGCACTGGATTAATCTACTGTGCATTAACATGGGCTTTACCTGCTGTGCTAATGCACAGCAGAATCACTCCAATGGGCATTAAGCATCTTGTGTAGATGCGCCCACTATCTGCTGAACTAGTATACGTGATGGGTCATGGGCTAGGGACAGACATTACACACAAACTGGTTTAAGTGATCAGAAGCTGGTTTATATCTGTAACAGCAGACGTTCAGTGCACGTAAACCAGTTTCAAAATGGCTGAAACCGGTTTGAGATAAACCTGGTATCAGACTTAACTGATTTGGCTCAAGTAGGTTTATGCAAGGTCTATCCCAGACCCCTTGCTGGTTTAAGTTAAACCAGAGACTCCCAGCATGCTCTCTAGGCTAGGCTCTCTGTTCCAGCCCAGCCACTGGCAGCCAGGTCTGCCCGTGGATGCCACTGTGCTCCCGGGCCTGCCCCCACAAGGGCCCTGCCCCCTCTGCACCGCTGCAATGGGAAGGAAGAGCCCTTGTTAGGGGGCAGCAGCCCCTGTCATAACGTAGGAAAGCTTGAGTCCCTTCCTGGCAGAGGTGCTGTGCTGTGGGACCAGCAGAGCTGCAGTGAGTTGTGTGCGACACCACCGGGGTTCTCAGAGCAGACCAGAGCCCTGCAAGTCCCCGGCAGCACTGCCGCACTCTGCAGCAGCTCTGCTGGCCCCGCAAAGCAGCCCCCACCAGTAACAGGCAGCTCATCACAGTCATTCACCACTCCAGCTGCTGGGCAGGGGTGGGGCCTGGCCCTGGCCCCTCAGCCTGTGCTCGGGGCAAGCCCCATCCCGGTAAGAGGGAGCTTATTCAGCCGCCGGCCCCAAGCACAGGCTAAGCAGTGGCTGCGGCTGGGCCAGGCAGACCCCGCTATGGTGCCAGCAGCCAAATAAGCTCTCAAGTACAGAGAAGCTGCTGGCACCATAGCAGAGTCTGCCCAGCCCGGCCACTGCAGCTCTGAGCTCGGGGCGAGCCTCCTTCTGGCAGGAGGGAGCTTATTCAGCTGCTGGCTAGTGGCCACTGTCACCGCAGAAGAGTTTTCTCAGCCTGCCCGCAGCCGCCACTCAGCCTGTGCTTGGGGCTAGTGGCTGAATAAGACCCCTCTTGCCAGGAGGGGGCTTGCCCCGAGCACAGACTCAGCAGTGGGGGCTGGGTCCCACCCCCACCCAGCAGCTGGAGTGGCAAGTGACCATGACAGACTGCCTGCCATGGCTTCCTGGAGCATGAGGCCCTTCCCGGTGGGGGCTGCTCTGCAGGGCTGGCAGAGCTGCTATGGAGCTCACACTCCCCCACATTATGACAGGGGCTGCTGCCCCCAACAAGGGCCCTGCCCCTCTCACTGCAGTGGCGGTGTCATGGCCAGTGAGGGCTCCTGGGGTGGGAGCAGGGAGCATGGCAGCGAGGGTGGGCAAACCTAGCTGTCAGTGGGGGTAGAAGGGAAACTAACTCTCCTCCCTGCCCCCCCGGGGCCATGGTGCCCTTCTTGGGGGAGCGCCCAGCAGACCTGGGTCAGGTCCCTGTCCTTGGGGTAGAGGGAGGAATTAAACACCTCTCTGGCCACAGACCCCCAGCACAGCTTCTCTGCAGTCAAGGGCTGCATTTCTGTGATGGAAAAGGAATTACCCTATTTGCAAAGTTAACCTCAGTCCTGCAGGTAGATGGTGCCAGTGCAGCTTCACTGACCCTGCTAGAGTAAGTGCTAAATGCCTTCATTTGCAAGCTGGCATTAGCTGACCAAGCTTCAGAAGGCTTTACTTTTAACTTGATGGTTAGTGTTCCTGCATTTGCCTGTCTGTATGTATCATGAAAGCTTCTGAATGCTGCACCTCATTAGTTCCAAAGCTCTGTAAATAGTCTGGGAATCTGACCAGAACCCAGATTTTGGGGGAAAAATTAGAAAACCCAAAGTGTAAAAAGAAGGGACCAAGAGCCCCTATTATGTGATCCAGAGATTTAGGGACATTTGCAACTGTCCACAGATCAAACAACTAGACGGTGATTCGCAGTGAAGTCATCCAGTCAATAGCATTGCATGTCCTGCATGATTCAGCTCCCAAATTATAATGGAGGTAGATGGCAAAATTGGGGAAACAAAGCCTCTTTACATGAGGGGCAAAGAAGCTGCAAGGGAATGAGCAGTTGGCCAACCATTTGGGCTATTCAGTTGTGCAAGGAAACTCAGTTCATGCAATGAGTTCAGTGAAAGAAAGCAACAAAGAATGCACCTTTAGAGGTTGTCCAGGGACCCCTGCCCACCAAAAAGAAGCCCATAGAGAGTTTTATTGAACACTAATGAACATTCCCTCTCACCTGATGATGTCATCAGAAAGTTTTAATCCTTCCAAGCTGAGGTTCTGTAGTCTATGACATTGGTAGAGAATACTATGGAGATCAGCAACATTGACTGTACAGTTGGACAGGTCCAAATGTTGCAGTCTAAGAGGTCTACAAATTGGAAAGGAGAAAGACATACAATATAAAACAAGGTTCTTTGGGTGAATCTGATATTTTTTTTAGACCAACTTAAATAGCTGGAAAACAACTGTTAAGCAAGCTTTCAGGTTCAAAAACCCTTTGTCAGGCTAAGGAAGTTTCAGCAGTTCCTTATACAATATAAGACGCACAGTCAAATCCCAAAGCCACTCCTGCTGGCAGAGCATCTGCATACCACAAAGTGTGCAGAAATAGCAGAAAACATGTATGCTTTAAAACATGTCAGATCTGTTAAAAGTATTAAGCTTATTACCTAAACAGCAAAATTTTGTTTGTTTGCTTGAGGGTACACAGATCTTTGCAATTCATCACAGTTGTCTATACTACTAGAGTTAAAACAAGTTTCCTTTAAAAAGATGCTTCACTAGTAAGTAGTTGTTAGTTCCAGAATAAAGAGTATGTACGAGGTAAGTGCCTGCAAAATAACTGTGCTGGATTATATTGTTAAAGTTGTGTTCACATGCTCTTCAACAGTTTTAGATCAATGACAAGTGAATACAGCTCCTCTGATTTTAGTTCTCCATCCTAACAACTACTTGTGGTGTCCCTAAACTTTGAAATGATGGCAGCACCAAGTGCAACCAGAGGTGCTAAACCAAATGATACTGGTTGCAATATGTAGCCAAGAGTAGAACGTGAAAGGGGCAGCTTTGCTGCAGAAAACTTAGATATGGCAACATTCTCACCTGTTGTGTTTAAACAAAGGTTCCCCAATACAGGATCTTGGGCAACGGAATACAGTTACACCTACGGGCAGCAACTGCCCAATCACTCCTGGCAGCAGATTTTTACCAGTCAGATCAAGAGTTTGCCAAAGTGATTCATCAAACCTAAGAGGGAAGAGAGTTTTACTTGTTACCAAGTAAAAAAAGGCTAAGTATTAAAAGTTATCAATGTCAGCCTTTATTAGAGGCATTGGTTCATATCGTACTGGCACCAATAAAAGGAAAACTGACATTATTGGCATGCATA